TGTTTGTTTGTTTGTTTGTTTGTTTGTTTGAAGTTCAATCACGCATTAACTACTAGACGGATTGGGTCGAAATTTGGCATGATGATAGCTCACATTCCAGGTTAAGTGGGCTTTATACTTGCGTGGCTACTCAAGTGTACAACTTCTGTGTTTAGCCAACAGCCCACATAGTTCCATATATCGCCAGTGGCGCGCTGAACGAGCCGCCCCTTAAACCGGTTTTGGACATTGCTACCAACCCCCAAGGGAATGTATGGAATCGTGTGGGAGTTGAACAACACAAACTGCTGCCCGTCCGCCACCTCGCTGCGCTTGTCTTCCATAGCTCACAGACTTTCACTTTACTACATAAATACTAATGGTCGGATGTCGTTCCGAACTCACACTTGCCCTTGTTATTACGATCGCTTAGCGCTGATCATCCAAAAATATAGAAACTGTTAACAAATATATTTTGGAAACGTATTAAATAGAGAGAGCATTCATGTATCTACTGGTTTAAATTTTAACTGTTTACTTTATAGAAAATGTTATACTATACCAATAATAACAGCTGTCGTACCACTTAAAGAAATAATAGAAATTGTAAAATGTGAATATTTTAAAACAATCTAAGAAAAGTAAAAAATTAAATTTATCTCCATAAGATTTAACAACGTTTCTATCTTAGTGCTCTACGTTCGAATAATATATCAGATCATTTTTTGCCAAGAATATATTTTGATGGATAATTAAATGAACACATCATACAGTTGAACCAAGATTTTATTAGTAATATGCATCAAATTGATTTGTTCCGATAAAATAAAGGTGTTCCATGTAATGAACCAAACAGACATAGCAATTATATTTACGAATAATGCTGTATTATAAACAACTAAAGGATATAACTAAACATGGTTGAATAAGCCAAACAAGACACAAGTAATTATGTTACGCTTGTATTGTATCATGTCCCTGGAATCACAAAGTGAGTAAATCAAAATTAGTACATTGCAAATAAAAATTAATATGTTTCATTAAAAAAGTTATGCGTTAAAATGTAAACGACCAGTGTTATGAGTAAAAAGAAAAGATTAAGTACATTACTATACATCTAAAGAAAATGGGACGTATGACCAACATTGTGAAACCTCTTATTATACAAAATGAAATCCCGTGAATAAGAAGTACAATCGTACAATACAAGATACAATACTGATGAATAAATTGTTAAACAAACCTTAGGATTTCGAAAACAAAATTAATCAAATATATTACACAAGAAGATAATACAGTACAACCTACATACGGGTATGGTTTATTACGATATAATTATTACTGAAGACCGGTAAAACAAATATAAACAAATACAAATATACAATGCAGGATCTAAAATGAAATACTGTTCATCAAACGTACACACGGAAATAGTGTACAGCACAAACTGGCTATATCACATAATAATAATAATATTTACAGTTTATAGCAGCTTTTGCGAAGAATTAGGAACTAATAAATAATTTTCTAGTACTGTAGACGACAAATAATAAAATAAATTATTTTAAACTGTAAAATATACAAATACATTGATATGTAACTACCTATACAAAATGCGTATTAAAAATCAACTATACAACAACCCTTATGATGTTAAACCCAAATTAAATACAGTAAATAAAATAAATATTATACCTGAAGATGATACAGTATAACCTACACAAAAATATACAAATACAAATAAACAAAACAGGATTTAAAATGTAAAAAGCCGGATGAGATACGTCTGGTTATTTCCTCTTTAATTTGGCTTGTTCCATGGCCTCGAGTATGTACTGAGGATTGCGGATAGACATCGATCTTGTCTGCCTAGGATCGACAAGCTCAGGCAGCAGGCAGTCCAGGTAAAAATCTTGAAGTTGGTCTCTCATGTGACTGTCCCAAAATTCGTCGTCTTTCTCTATAACATCCATCCGCATTCCTTTAGGGGTCCACATTACGAAATAGCAATATTTACGTTGTGTAATGTGGAGCTGACCTTGGACCTGGTAGAAATAATTGTGTTTTTTATTAATTGCTTCCACCTCGGTTTTATTCCTACTTACATCCCAAAATGTAAATTTCCTCCTAAGAATCCCTTCCTCCGGTGTCAGTTCACTACAAGATGCAGGGCATTTTACCTCGACGATGCAATCATCTCCTACAAGACCATCTGGGGTTGCGCCGAGGTACGGAATGTCTTTGTCAACAAACAATCCGCACTTGCTTACGGTGAGGCCAGTCTTCTTTTCAAACGCCGTTAGGGCTTGCGTTTCATTTTCCCTTCCATAAAACATTGATGGAGTTTGTACATCACGGTACAAGAGATTTTTTACGAGTCCCGCGCAGCTTGTACTTTTCCGTCTTTTGCATACAATGCCAAAATTTGACGCAGTCAAAAGTTTTCTCCTCTCTTCTTTCCAGAGTCCGCTCCCAGCCTGTAACAGCGTCCCTCGTTCCAACTTCATTTTTTCCTCTTCAGTACGTTGGAGAGCTTCTAGAAATATTTGTTTTTTAATTTGGTAGATTTCTTCGGGCAAGTCTGCTTTCATCGCAGCTCCTCCATAGTGTCTGATTCCGTCACTTGTTTCTTTAGCAGGAACCTGTCTCTGTTTCCTCCTGTTAGGATTTGCAATCCTTCTTAAGGCCCGTTGTTCCAGTATTCTTTTCTTTTTTAGTTGGTGTCTTTTTAAAATCTTCCCTGGGCTTTTACTGTACATGTTCTTGTGGAGTTTGTATAAAGGAAGTTGACTGTTATGAGACACCACCGCTGCGAAACATCTAGCTTTATAGGATCTTTTCAGAGCAAAGTTGACCCTCTTCCCACCGATAAACTTTGCTACAATGGAGTTGTAATGTTCTGCAGTGTTGTTGTTCATTTTCATCATCAAACTTCTGGCATGGTCGGCAAGGCTCCCTACTGTTGACATTACTTCAGTGTAAATCCCAGCTTCTTTCAATTCTGGCACATAGTTCTTTTCGTTGTCTTTTGGACCATCACAAAAATACCCAATTTCACGGCATTTCAGATGCTCGCCAAACACATGACTAGGACTGTTTATTATATCCTTCATCAAACTTGAAACATTATTGACATTTTCCGAGTCATTTGTTTTCCTATGCTCGACTGCTTTTGTTACTGCAGTTCGCAGACGAAGAATATTTTTTTTTACAACATCTCTCAATGGTTTAGGTCCTAAACTGGTTTTTTGGCCGACTTCTTTGAGCTTGTTACAAAAATTTCGGAGCAGGTGGTTTGTACACTCAATTTTTTCAATTGTTAAATGCGGATAGGGTCTTGATTCATAGAGAGTGGCATACACGCTGGAGTCACCATCCGCTAACACTTTGCCGTACATGGCGCCGTACATCTCCATGCTGCGTGAAAAACCTTCCAGTATTATATCTGTCTCCATACCAGGTGAACTCCCAGTCCAGTTCTTGAAGCAGGCATGCTCCGAAGGGGGGCGAGCAGTCTTGGCAGCTCGTGCACATACAGTGCAATACTTGTTGCGGACTCCAAGGAAAATAACTTTCTTGGTGTTGAAGCCAACAATTGCTGCCTGTGGAAAAAACGTAAAATATGACCAAATAAAAATATACAATAAATTATTAAGTATTAAGTGATGGTGGTGATTAGGGAAAACAAATCGTAGGCAAACTACAAAATAAAAACCAATTACAGATAATTGTTCTATTGCGGTACCACTTCTTCAGAAATTGAGATTATTTCTTGTTCTTTTAATATGGATTTCGCATACGGTAATAGTTTTATGTCAATTAAAAATAGAACATATATGGAATTAGTTATTTGTGCAACTAGTGAGCAAAGTGAGCAATTGACTCACGCGAGTGGTTTCTCGAGTGAGGCAACAAGTAGGTTTGCTACAAAGTACGATTAGCTTATATTTAGTTTTTGGATTATTGCATAAAAAATTTAAAATGTTCTATAATTTAATGACAACGTTTTTAAAAGACTAGCAGCAAACCCCGCGATACCCGTATCAAAATACAATGGCGGTTATAACATCATTAGTGGGAGGAATATTTTATACTATTCAAGACCTACTTATATAGTAATAAAAACACTCCTGAATGATCTACAATGTTCTAAGGGCATCTATAATTTTGTACAATCTAGAGACATTTTTCTGGATTTTTTTTCTAGAGCATATTCCAGACCAACTAGTTTCACGCCCTTCATTGTTAGTTCATTGTTAGTGCACACACATTTTAAATCTTCCTTTTAATTTCCTTAAATTTAATATAAAAAAAATTTGTGATATTTGGTGAATTTTTGATAATTTACTTATTTAAGGTATTACAAGTGTTTGTAAACATGTTGCTTAAATTAAATAGTTAAAACTGTTAAATAGTTATAAAAATTAAATTAAGTAGTTAAAATGTAATGTTCAAAGTTTAATTCAAGTTTAAGTTAATTCAATGTTTAAGTCATTGAAAGTTAGAAGACAGTAATTTTTATGACAAAAACTTACCACTCCAGACAGAGAGTTGTAGTTTGTCCGGTAGGACCGCTTCGCCCAGCTCCCGTCGGCCACAACGGTCAAGATCGGCGTTCCGTCCGGGGTAACTTGACCTTCGGCGATGGCGTGTGCTATTTCTTCCGTTGCCGCTGACTTCATCTCTTCGAGCGCAGTATCTTCCCATCCCTTAGAAAGCGTGTCGTGGTATCCAGAATATGACACAGCAGACATTGCTGGAATTTCCATTGAAGAGAGGAGTTCTTGTAGCTGGGAATGGCCAATCCCAATACACATTGCACCAGCAACACTCGCGGTATTTATGCCCATTGATTCCCGTCTATCGTCCTCAGTAGACAATATGAATTGCATATTGCACATGTTGCACTTCAAAGTAAATTTTGACCGCAGCCCGTAACATTTTTCCTTTATTATGTTGCAGTTACTAATGGAACAACCCATCACTTTGTTGTGATTGTCAATTTCTTTGATTTGCCCATAAAACGATGCCAAGTCAACGATCCGGCGACCTGTTACAGAAAGTGGCACTGGAGTGTCATTGCAAATATTGGTCATGTCTTCTAGCGGGATAGGTCCTTCGAGTGTAAGGTCATTGGCGTCCAATCGACTACAGTTTGAATGTTCCATATCCTCGAGGGGTATAAGAGCTTCGCTGTCTTCATGGGCGTCGTCTCTGTTGCTGCTTGAATCTTCCATTATCAGCCTCCGGCGAGCTGGAACTGAGAATGGTGTGCTCGTGCCCGCTCTGTAATTAAAAAATGCCTTTATTAGTAAATGAAAATAATGAATGACATTACAAAGTGCATTGTTAATAATAAAATCACATAACTACAATTAAAACTCTGTGTTTTTGTTTTGTGAAATATAGATAAATAGGTGTTGATTACATTTTTACTTATCCCCCCCGACACTTTCAAGTTGACCTAACTAGAAGGACTAATACTATTTTTGTAAGGTGTTTTTATATTATGTTAGCTGATTTAGAAAAAAAGAATTTATTTATAAAAATAAATACATCTGCCTTAAAAAATAAGGTTGCCAATGACACAGAAAAATTGTACACATTAAATAGGGAATAAATGTTATATTTTTAAGTAGACATTTCAGTGTAAATCCAATCAGTAAAATGGAAATTCGCTTAGTCTGCAGGTTTGCTGCGGCGGGAGTATTTTAATTAGTTGTAAGCCAAACGTTACAAAGTGGCTTCGATTTCATTTATTCCATTCTTTATTGCATTCAACAATGTAATAAATCATTTGTTAGATTGCCGTTATATTGTTATTTCATTTATAATTTGTTTATAGCTTGTGTATTTATTATAATTGAAGTTTTTCTGCTTAAGCTATACCTTCGTGTTTTCAATTAGGACAAATGAAGATCTCCGTTGGATTAAAAATATATAACACACATTATGGTTTAGGCTAAAAAAATATATATCACTGACACGTGCTTATACGCTTCTGAGTGGGAAACAATACCCCGTGCGCACGGTCCCACTAAGTCGATTAGTGCCGGGTGAGTGGTCGAGTATAAGGAAGGCCCAAAGTTTACTTCGAGGATGGTAGAGCGTTTGGAGCGTTTTCACCCCGGGAGTAGCCGACTTGCCCTAGGCGAAGTGCCTTCTTATATAGGGGTGTCTGACTGTACATACATTTATGAAATTGACTAATTTATTTTGTCTAGTAGTCTTTGTTGGTTATTGAACTTTAAACATAAGTATATGATTTTACACAATTTATTTATAATAGGCATACTTTTATGAAATTTAAAATGTAACGACAGCACAACTAAAAATAAGCCATTCTAATTTTTTATTAAATAATTTTTATAAGTATTCGCCAACAGTTGGGAATTTTGCCCGAACAATGGTAATACAGTATATATCAAATTCAAATCCATGACTAGTGGCGTGCAGGGGCAATTGCCCCTATTAATAGAGACTACAATATATAAAAAGACAAATATTCGAAATATGTTTTTAAAATTATCAATTTTATGTTACTTAAAATTAACAGTGTTTCTTGTTTTATATCTTGGTTTTCCTTCCGTTGGAGTCGTATATTAGTTGCTTCTGATGTGCCGATGAAATACAATGGTAAAATAATGATTAAATCAATAACACAACTTTAATTAAACAAACAACTCATTTTGAAACATTATTTACCAACCTTGACTTTCGGAATAAATGTAAACATTGCAAATAAATAAGTAACAGCTGATAGAATGCAGACGTTTTTCAGTCCCCATACATTCCTTATGGCGGGTTAGGTAAATAATATTTTCATCTGTGCTTGTACTTACATTTCACGATGGTTAAAAGAATCAGCTAGATCTGTCTCGGTTAGTCTGGTTCCCTCTTCCCCCTGACCATTATTGCAGTATGAATGGTCATTATGTCGTGGTTTGAAGGTGTCGTTGATCATTCTTGAAGTCACAATTTCACCGTTTTCTGTGCTTGACCTGGAAATAAAAGTAAATATAAGGAAAATATTAATAGCATAGAATAAAATCAATAAATTTACCAAGAATGATCAACATAGCAAACTACAACATTTTACAATATTCTCCTTCCTTATAAAAACATAATTTGTATCTATTTTTGAACAAGTGTCTTCCCCGCCTAAATCGTTCTTTTTTATTAAGTTATAAGCCAAACATTGCATACATTTATGAAATTGACTAATTTATTTTGTCCAGTAGTCTTTGTTGAATTTTAAACATGAATACTGTATATGATTTATACACTTTATTTATAATAGGCATATTTTTATGCAATTTAAAATGTAACGACAGCAACACCAAAAATAAGCCATTCAAGTTTTTCTTAAATAATTGTTATAAGTATTCGCCAACATTTAGGAATTTAGCCCGAACAATGGCAATATATTTATAATTCAAATCTATGATTTTCTTTGGGAATATTTCCTAACCAGCAATAGTTGTAAAATAATACAGTATTGTCATCTGTGCTTATACTGTACTTACATTTCGCGATCAGCTAGATCTGTCTCGGTTAGTCTGGTTCCCTCTTCCCCCTGACCATTATTGCAGTATGAATGGTCATTATGTCGTGGTTTGAAGGTGTCGTTGATCATTCTTGAAGTCACAATTTCACCGTTTTCTGTGCTTGACCTGGAAATAAAAGTAAATAAAAGGAAAATATTATTAGCTCAGTATAAAATAAATAAATTTGCCAAGTTTGATAAAAATATCCATAAGCAAGCTAACTACAACATTTTACAATATTCTCCATAAGAATAGCATGGGAATTTTAAATTTACAATATGTCACTTATATGATAATTGGACCTGTTTTTGTTTTCAACTTAAATCACTCAAAAATAGTTGAATTTGATGTGTTATTCAATAGTAACACACAAAGAAACTGAATCTATTACGTAAATTTATTTATTTATACTTCCAAATTCTGAAATCAGCAAAACTCAATTGTACAATGAGCGGATGTACCATGTATTTTTTAAACTACAAATTAAAACCATGAATTCTGCATTAATATTTTCATCTCACTATGGTGGCAACCTTGAGTTTTGAACGAATGTTGTTTTTGGCCTCTAGGGACCTCAAAATTAAAAATTAAATTGGTCCCGGGTCCAGGTCTTACCATGAGTACTACGGTAAATCGTAAAAAACATACTGTTTTAAATAGCAATAGCAAACTCTAGTACATATTTCTAGGTCCACTTTTTTACGACATAAGAAAAAGAGCTAAAATATGACAAACACCTCGTCATATAGTATTTTTAATAGATTTGTAATAGTATATTGCGTTACTAGTCCTGAAAATAAATGTTTACCGGACGAGTGTGGTCGTTCCCGTGCAAGATAGGCCTAACCATACGAGTCCGGTACACACATTTGGGACGAGTTACGTACGATAGTTTACGCCATAGTACTTAATTCGTACAAATCCTTATATATTTCCACCAACTAAAGGACTAAACATCACCAGTCATAACCTAAGAGAGGTTATGTTTTTGTATATCACCAATCATTGCCACGCAAATACAGTATAATCAGCTGATTGGTGTCCGGTAAAACTCATTGCAGAACAGTATTACGCAATTAAACCCCATTTGATTAAGCTGGCGGCAAACAGCTGTTTTCTGGACTAAATCCTTGCGTGGGAAGTTCGTCAAAATAATGTAGTGTGGCGTAAAAATATTTTACAATACTTTGTTTTGATGGTTTTTTACATAATTATATCTATTTTAGAAAATGTTTAGCTTTGTATACAATTGACTTGAACATACACAACTGCGTCTTGAAATATTAAACGAATTTAACTGTATTACACTATTAATAGAGATAGTAAAATATGTATACAAAATTGTGAATATTTGAATACTCTTACCTTAGAGGTGCACTCCTTGGTCCAATATTACCGCGTTTCTTCCGCTTCTTTTTCACTGAGGGAAAGCCACGAGTCTTTTTGCAAACTGGAGGCATTATCACTGTCACAAGAACAACTAATAACTGACGAACTGAAGGTTTGTGGACAAAGATATGTTGCAGGGAATGATCTTCCTGGAAGTCATAAGCCTAGCCTGTACATATTCACACTTTCACCCTTGCTCTCGGGCTCGGCCCAAGGGTCGCCTCTCGGCTCAGTGTTCTTGGAAATCAGTGCGGCTGTCGCCATGGGTAACGCATATTATCTAATCGCGTACATTTTGAAAATGTCACAAACAAATAGTGATTAAGTTGGCTGAAGCCATGCTTAGCCAAGTTATGTTATCCGCGATGAGTAACAATTAATTATGATTGTTAATGAACAAGTGTTACTATACGGTTAACGAAAACTAATATAAAACAGCTTGCTTTTGGTAACGATTTATAATTCGTTATATTTTGTTTAACTTGTAGCCTAGACATTAAAAAACCAGAAAAATCATAATCCTGTATGCGTTAGTTATAATCTAGGAGGATTAAACATTAAATCCTGATTATTGGTTATAATGTGATTTGATTACAGTACATTTACTTTTTCTGCATATCATTGCAATGAGCATAGTGGCGGAGGACTGATGCAAAGTGCTGTAAAATTGCCAGTTGATCATAACAGTAGTATATTATATAATAGCCTAAATTTATAATATATGGGCGTAATATGTGACACTCCTCCATGCCACTTTACGTCCATAGAAACCCCCTAGCACATAAACGTCTTTTAATATCTGTGTAACAACTTATCCCATAATTAATACGAGCTATGTTTGTTGGTCTGTAAATATATATCTCGAAATCCAGCGGAAGGATTTTGACTGAATTTTGAAATTAGGGACTTGTACACCTAAAAACGTGATTGGTGGCACACTACCAACCAATTTCGTATTTCACAATAAAACTCATTTAACAATTTTACATTGGCCTTTGTGGGTTGTCAAGTAATAGTTGGTTGAACAAGGACAAAGTAAACAACAGACTTGGCACATGTGTTTTACAAGCCATCCACAGTATACTAGCAAATTAAAAAATACACTGAGCTAAAATTATAACTGGAGGTAGCACTGCCATGGCAGAAGTCTGTCAAAAGCGAGTCGCTGATTTTGTTAGGTTGGTATAGCAGTAAGTTTTCTTACCATAGCAATAACATGGCTTCTTATAACTAGGTTGCATAGCAGTGAGTATTTTTGTCATAGCAATAACATGGCTTCTTATGGACACCCACCTCACGCAAACATGGCGGCTGGCGACACGCATCTTTGACATTCAGTGCTACCTCCAGTTAGAATTATAGCTCAGTGAAAAAATACAGTAGGGTTCTAAGGGAAAAAGATCAGTTGATACATTGAGCAAAGATTACTCGGTATAGGGGAAAATCGTCCCGATAAAATACTGATTATTTTACTTAGCCCTCTCCCACCAAATTTAATCCACGAAGTACTGGGGCATTCCAAGTAAACTAATTACATCTGAGGGTTTTAATTGGCATAGCACTATTACCGCAATCCGTTATGCAAAATCACAATTAAAAAAACAGAGTCACAATTTATTCAAAAGTAGTAGCCAAAAAGCGAAAATCTTTGTCACAAGCCATTTAGAAACTAATTTAGTTTTGTTTGTATATCATATTTTGATCTGCTGTCATTGGTGACCGTAAAAGACGAACAACGGGTTTCAATGACTTGAGAGGAGAAAATATCTGTTCAAGATGCATTTAAACTACGAGAGATCATAAAAGTGTATTTTATTTTTGTTTAGTTGCCTATTATTAATGTAAGACTAAATTACTTACGTAATTCCCGTCACAGCTCAATAATGTTTTTGTCACAACTCAATGCATATTTTTGTATAAAACAGAGAACTATTAATTCAGTAATAATAATGTTTTTGTTAATTATAAAATTCTGCTTACGATTAATCGCTTTAGTTAATAATCGGTATAGTTGTAAGGATTAAACCCAATTAACCAAAACCAAACAAGACTTGGCCTCCATGTACTAAGTTGTAATAACAGAAATAACCGATTGCACGCACATAAAATAGTGATTGCAAACTTTAAAATCCAGCTGTTATTGAAGTTATACTTTTTATTGTAAAACCAAAACTGACAATATAAAAAATTATGGAAGGACTAATTTGATTCAAATGTTTGGTGTATTGCCATTTATTAGGTTTAATCATATTTATTTACGATATCGATTTTATTATTTTCTGAATGGTATAATTCCGAATATAATGTAATTTGACTTAGCCATTTATCAAGAATTACGATATGGATCGAGTAACAAATACTGTGTCTATTATTTTGATTCAAGGACACAATGAGCCTTTCTGGGGAACTACACCCGTCCCAATGGGCAGAGAAACAGGTTGGCAACACTGACGAATATCTCCTCGGTGGTGATAGTTCCATCAACGCTCACCAGAGCGTCCTTCGTACGGGGTGTTTTGCGAAGCGATTTTCATAAACAAGCCTCACAAATTCCTCAATTTATGAGTTAACTGTTGGTTTTTATGCATTTCTACTTAGCGGGAAATCATCTCAATAAACTAATAAAGGATTTAAAACGGAAAAACGTTCTAATTTTGTTTTAAAAGTTTAAGGATTGTGTAGAAGAAGATGACCAATTTTCATTAAGTTTAACCTTGAATAAAATATGTCTCGTAAAAGTTAAATACCTTAAAATATGTTAATACCCTAGTTTATTTCATGAGAAACATTTTGCCGTTTACCGAAAGTCGATAAGTGCTTTAATAAGCTCAGAATTTGAGTAATACAGAGGTGTGTTTTTCAGCCGTTCGGGATAGGTTTAGAGCCCTCTTAACGACACGAGTAAAAGATTTAAGGTACGAGCCTTGGCGAGTGTCTTTAAAACTTCTACGCGTGTAGTTAACACTATTTACGCGAGTTGCGTACTTAACTTTACCCACGACAGTGTTTTAATTACTGAAATCACTATTCATAATTTTTCAAGAGAGGTTATGTTTTTGTTTATAACCTCTCATTGCCACTGACAGTAATATGCAATGAAACATAGTATCAAATACTAAATGCACCACTCAACAATGAAATTGTCATGAACAGCTGATTAGTTAAAGTTCGAATCATTACAATTTTACTTCTTCTCTCTCAATTGTAGAACCTCATTGGTCCGTTACCCATGTTGTTAAGTAAAGCTATGGTGTTATGTAAGTTAACGATGCTGTTATGTGAAACTTTTCAAGTCAAAGAACTAAACTGAAACGGTTACTTTCAAAAACGGTCGTAGGTAAAACTAATAACAATAGTTGTAGTTGTGAAAATATTTTATTTTGTATTTTTAACTTTAAAAAAGTTATAAACAGACTGCAAAACAAGGTGTTTAACTAAGTCTTGAATCATTCAACTTCAGTCATCCAATCATTCAACTTCACTCCTGCAGTGTTCCTTTATTAAAGAAGTCTACGAACCTCTCGCGTACAATCATTGCATAACGGGAACTGCTCTTGAAATCCGCGCTAAAGCTAGAGAAAGCACCCCCTCGTGGCTCTGGCTCTTCATCGTCTTCTTCAAGGCATGCGAAGAAGTCCTTATCGGAATCCTTTGTTCGTAGAAAGTTGTGTAGCACGCATGTAGCCATCACAACAACCTTAGCAACTTCTACCTTAACCTCCAAAGGCCTGTTGTACAGTCTCCATTTTTGCGACAGAATGCCAAAAGTATTCTCTACTATACCACGCGCTCTACAAAGTCTGTAGTTGTACCTCCTCTTTCTTCGATCTTGGCGGGCTTTCCTTTGGGGGAAGGGTTTCATAAGGTTTCGTTTTAAACCGAATGCTTCGTCACCTATTAAACAGTGTGGGGTCCCTTGGCTTTGCCCAGGAAGAGGTTTTTCTCCTGGAATATTTAGTTGGTCTGTTTTAAACTTTTTCCCCATGGCAGATTCGTCAAATATACCTCCATCGCTGTTTTTCCCATATCCTCCCACATCAACGCAGAGGAACTTGTAATCTGGGCCAACTATGCTTAACAGAACAATCGAAAACTTGTGTTTGTAACAAAAGTATGTTGAACCAGATTTTCCTGGGCACTTAATAGTCACATGCTTTCCGTCTATGCTTCCCACACAATTCGGAAATTGCCAACGATTATAGAAACATGCTGCTGATTGTGCCCATATCTCCTCCGAAGGTTCGGGCAAGTACAGAGGTTGCAATCGCTTTATGATAGCATTGCAAACTTCTTCAATGATGGCGCCTACAGTTGAAAATCCAACTCTGAAACTATGTCCAATAGTTTTGTGCGAATCTCCAGTGGCCAAAAACCTGAAAGAAAGTTAAACATATGTAAACCCACAGTAATATATATAAACGCAGTAAATATTTTAAATACGTTTTAGTTTAGAAACATATTTTGAGGAACCCATAGCGTGTTGGTGTGTAATAAAAGTTATAAAGGGTGTTTCGAAAGTTGACGGCCAAACATAAAAATAAGTTTTTGTTGTTCCAAATAAATAAAAATGTTTCCTCTAACAATTGAAAAGTGTTGAAGACAATGTGTTTACCAATTAAAAAGAAAAACCTTATTTTTAAAGTAGACTAATATGCATATACCAATTTATTTTCTTGAATATAAATTGATAGTAAAACAATTAATTTATCACATACATTGGTAATTTTTACTTGCGTTGTTTCTAAAACTAATAATTTATTTTCAGGTGAACAGTTGAAGAAGAAATGGAGAAATCTTCGAGACTCCTACATGAAACATCTCAAATCCATCAAGCCTACCACTGGTCAGGCCAAGAGGAACTATGTGGCGTGGCCTTGGTCCTCTCAGATGGAGAGATTCAAGCCTTTTCTTGGAATGGCCAAAACTGTCTCAAATATAAGTGCTACTGAAACTCAAGGTACAGATGTAAACAATGAGGTAGTTTTTGAACCTGATGTGGGCAATAACAACCACGACCATATTTCAGCCGATGGTCAATCTCCTGTACGTGAGCCAATTGAAATTAACAGGCCTGATAATGTAGATCTTGCCTCCGAACCCCGTATAAAAAAAAGGAAAACCCAGTCCCCTGGCAACAGCAACAACGTTGACAAAGTGGTACAATATCTAGAGGGGAAAAACAAAATCCAACTTGATGCGACTGACCATTTGATGCTGGGTTATTCCAAAACAATCAAGACTTTCTCGCGCGCAAGACAGGCTCAGATTAAACTACAGATTGCTCAGATAATCAATCTTGGTGAACTGGAGCAATTACGTGAAGAAGATCTTTCAACATCATGTAGCTCTTCAGTAGGAACTCGGCGTGACTTCGATCCAACTTATCCAAATGATGAAGAGCTCGAAGAACAAAGATTCCGTGTTTACAATTCTTTTGGAAATGTTTAACTTCATAAGTACTAACTCTTGTGTTTATAGTTTTCCTTTGTACATGAAAATTTAATTCTTTGGCATATTGGACAGTTACAATGTTAGACCTACTGAATAATTGCAGAATACATTTTTATTCTAAGTATAACATTATCTTGATGTGACAAAATACTGTTTTTATTGTCCCTAACATAAAATTAGTGTTTGCTTTTTGATTTTACTTTGTATTAGAAGTAATTTTGCCTCGAATTTAAAACTTTAATATTTGTAAACAATTACATAACAGTTTACTGGACTGTAAGATTTTCGGTACCATGTAAAGTGATCGGCAGTTCAGTAGGCAGTTATTCCTTCTATTAAAGTTATCCGGAAGGGGGGAAACTTTAAACCTATATATAAAAAATATATTTAAAGAACCTGAAAAAGAAATCAATTTTTATAAAGAAAAATGGGCTGGCGGAGGGGGAAAATGCTAAATATAAGTATAGGTTCAAAGACTCCCCAACTTAGCTGCCGACTACTCTACAAAGATAATTAGTAACTGTAGATCTTACCTTAAAGTAATTGCTAGTCGTTCCTCGGCACTAATTGCTTCACGGTAGTTGGTATTTTCTTTTTCAATAAGGTCAACAATCAAACTGAGTAATTCATCAAAACATTCTTGAGTCATTCTAAAATAGATGTAGAACCTTTTAGCATCATTTCTCAATTGGGGCATGAGAGTGTGGTACTCTCCAAATGCTAGCCTTCCTTTATTTATGTCATGCACCCAAAGTTTTTTCGCCTGTTCGTCTTCTAATACAGCAAGCAAAAGTAGGGCTTCTTCTTCATCAGACGATGACATGGTAAGTAAATAAAATAAAAACTAATTACAATATTTCACAAAACTTGACTCGAATCACTGGACTACACACCTTGGCATGGCCACTCACTGCGGTGTACTGGCTCCCGCTTCCCGTCTGGTAGCCGCACCTGTGTGGAAGCACGAGTTCCCGCCACGATCTTCCCGCGCAAAAATCGCATCTAAAATTCCAGGAACTGAACCGTTAACGCTCCCGCTCCCGTTCCCGCGCCGGTGTGTACGGGCCTTGTACTCTGACTGTCTCTTCCCGCAGTGCAGAAGGTTTTGGTGGAGCAGGAGTCTTGGGTCGGTGAAGTGGGGATGGAGCAGGTGCAGGTGGTGGTGGTGGAGCAGGTACAGGTGGTGATGGTGGAGCAGGTGCAGGAGGTGGTGGTGGAGCAGGTGCAGGAGGTGGTGGTGGAGCAGGTGCAGGTGGTGGTTGTGGAGCAGGTACAGGTGGTGGGGATGGAGCAGGTGCAGGTGGTGGTTGTGGAGCAGGTACAGGTGGTGGGGATGGAGCAGGTGCAGGTGGTTGTGGACACCTCACAGGTATAAATGATGACAACCGAAAGGGCAAACCCTGAGCCATCTTCATGATGTTACCCTCTGCTTGCAGTTTGTCCTGATGGTAAAATATTGCAATATAATAAAACTTTATTACATTCTTATTATTTTTTTAAATATTTCGTGATCTTGGGGGTTTGAGATTGTCATTCCACAAAAAATTCATTTTGATAGGTAATGAAAGTATAATAAACTTGCTATATTTATATTTATTTTAAATAGGTACCTACTTGTTTTAATGATTATTTTAATTAAAAATGTTACTCTTTATTAAGTTTATAAAATTCGAAAATAGTTTATTTATATCTATAATATTATGACCACGATTTGATTTCTGTATTTTTGTTTGGATCGGATGTATGCTAAGTTTTATACATCATGTTTAAAACATACATACAATTTAACTTAGGCTGAAATTTTACACAAAGGTAGATTTGGAATTTGTTTGTAGACAAATAGGTATTCACTTCCATGAAATCTTTTCAGATGCTACATTAACGTACTTGCAATATCTAAGTTTTAGGGGAATATAAACATTCAAATATATATATGTAGAAACTACAATTTGACATTTCGAAGAGAATAAAAATAATATTGATTTGAATGTAAATTCAATTTTCCCATAATTAAGGTCAACTGTCCTGTTCAAAAATTTGGTTGCTGCTAGCTTTTTATAGGTACTTAGGTACTTGTTACTATGGTTTACAGTAATGGTACAAACTGATATTTGTAACAAAAAAATCTGATTTTAAAGTTCACTTAACAGTTTGTAAAGCTAGTATATTACCTTTTCTCCTTTAGATGTAATACAAACACAAAATGGGAAAATATGTTTTTCGAATGATTTCCTTTTCCAGGAAAAACATTTTTAGAAGTTTTTTATGGCGCATTTATAACTTTTGATCTCTGATTGATTGGAAATGGCATCGCTGTACTTTGTCCCATGTTTAGGAGAGTAAAACTATTGTTGTGTTTTATGGATAGATATATTTTTATGCATATATATTTTTGTTTGTGTTCAAAGTTTGCTCTTTATCAATTGAGTCAATTATAATATGTAACGCGAGCGCAAAGAGCCACTTCGCATACCAGTAACACAAATGACTATTTCTTTCTACTGCATTGCCACGCACGTAAACAGTTCCCAAAATGGCTACTTTTTGTTTTATTCCTACTGTTTACAGGTGTGGTAATGTGATAATTTCCATGCAGTAGAAGGAAAAAATTGTGTGTATTACGAGCACAAACACTTGCTTGTAATACACACTTGATTAATCCTACTACCAAAATTAGCTTGCTATCCCATCCACCATTAACTTACCAATAGTAAAGGTAAAAGCAAAATAAAAATAAGAGCTTAGAACAAATCATCATACTGTGATCTATTAAGAAACGTGAAATCTGTTCCCATCCACTATTAAATCGTTAATGGCTAACTAACTGAACTATTACGTATTAAAATCAATAATAACTATATAGCAAGACTGTCGTGCTCGAAAGGAGGAACAAAAAACCAATGTATTGGGTGACCAACGATTTCATTACTTCTTTAAACCGTATCAATTCTCTAGAGATTGCACATCGATTGCTCAGAGATTAGTTGTAGCAGATGAAAAATATCTCGGTAACGTTCGGGGAGGTTCGGGTGGTGTCGTGGACGGTCATCTACACGGGGTAGCGGATTTCTACCCCCGGATATTTACCCCCATGAAAAAACGCCTACGTCATTTTGACGTCATGAGGGGCGGGGCCTATACACGGTCGAGAAACAGCCCGCGACTGGAAATCTACCCCCGGACATCTACCCCCGGAAATCTACCCCCGGACATCTACCCCCGGACATCTACCCCCAGACATCTACCCCCGGACATCTACCCCCGGAAATCTACCCCCGGAAATCTACCCCCGGACATCTACCTTCCGTGGTCAGCTCTGTCACGTATCGGCCAATATTCATTGTTGTAATTGATTTTATTGACTGTTTTATGTAAATCAACGGCTCTTCGTTTCGTAATTACCCTCTATTATCTAGTATTACGCATGTGATATGTCATTGTCTTGTTTAACATTATCTATCTTCCTAATGAACTAAGCTGTAACAGCCCTTTTTCACCCGAACTACTTTACCAATTTTTATGATCGAGGTGTAATTTTAAATCTTAAGATCTAGCGCAACGCAAAATGTTAATTAAAACGATATTTTGGTAGAGGGCTTCAAAAGTTTGACCTTGAACCATTTGATTTTTTTCTAGACAGTGATTTAAATGTTTGGCCAACTTTCAAACACAGTAACAGCTAACGGCGCATGCACGAGCGCAGATAGTAAAATTTAAAACAGATAATTGAAGGAGGTTATTTTCTGATTACTAGAGGTAAAAATACAGTGCAATTAAATGTTGATAAAAAGCCTGCCACCGGTTGATCAATAAATTAATTAATTACTAGGTGAAACCCGTCAAAATCGACGGTTGCTTTAAAGGCTTACGATAATTCTTTTAACTGTGACAGAGTGAAATTATAAAAAAACGTGAGCATTTAGCATTGTTTAATGAGTAATAAATAAGTGTAGAAACAATAATGACATTTGCGTTAGTTACAAAATATGGTTTATCATTCAATGAATAACATATTTCTTAAACCGTCCGTCATAGGCCTATGTGTTATTGTGTTTGGAAGTGTTTGATGTATGTGTCTTAGTAGACAGGATAAGAGCACAATGAACTTCTTCTGTAGATAAATAATTCGTTGGCTAAGAAAAATTTAAGCCGGATTAATAAATGTCTCAATCCAAGCGCATTAAAATAGCCCTGTCCTAAACCTTTTTTGTAGTATGTAGTTAGTTTAATAACATTCAAAGGCTCTGTTGTGTTTTCACTAAGCTGAATGAATACATCGAAGTAACATCTCTAACAAGTCTGCAATAAATTGCAATTTGGCAGATTAATGACTATCTAAATCGTGCCCATATTTCTTCATAAAAATTATTAAAAATTATATACAAAAATATATACACGGCTCATATGGGCAACGTGCCCTTCTGCACTTGTATTATTTTGTATTGTATTACACAATCGAAATCTTTTCCAATAATTGAAAACATGTATGAAAATAATCTTATGAACCTATGATGATCTGTCTTATATATGACAAAATATTGGCAAAAGTGGTCAAAAATGCAGACACCTGCCGTACAATCCGTACAATAGATAAGATAATTCAATAAGTAATAGTTTAATAGTTACTGTAGGCCTATGTAATATTTTCCAATGCTTTCGTAATGGAACGAAGGGAACTTTTAAAGGATTGCTTAAGGGTCAAACTTTTGAAGCCCTTTATCAAAATATCGTTTTAATTCCCATTTTGCGTTGCGCTAGATCTTAAGATTTAAAATTAGGCCTACACCTCGATCATAAAAAATCGGTGAAGTAGCTCGGGTAAAAAAGGGCTGTTACAGCTTATTTCATTAGGAAGATAGATAATGTTAAACAAGACAATGACATATCACATGCGTAATACTAGATATTAGAGGGCAATTACGAAACGAAGAGCCGTTGATTTACATAAAACAGTCAATAAAATCAATTACAACAATGAATATTGGCCGATACGTGACAGAACTGACCACGGGGGGTAGATGTCCGGGGGTAGATTTCCGGGGTAGATTTCCGGGGGTAGATGTCCGGGGGTAGATGTCTGGGGGTAGATGTCCGGGGGTAGATGTCCGGGGGTAGATTTCCAGTCGCGGGCTGTTTCTCGACCGTGTATAGGCCCCACCCCTCGTGACGTCAAAATGACGTAGGCGTTTTTTCATGGGGGTAAATATCCGGGGGTAGAAATCCGGCGACCCATCTACACCACCAGCAGCAGTAGCATCCCACGTGCATTGCTGTATCGAGTGTTGCTGAGATTAGCGTCCTTACCATACACGTGTCAGTTAATATCGGGACTAACTGGTCCTTGAAATTCTGCACGAAATTAACGCAGTGAATTATCCAGACAGTGTAGCTTACAACTGTTGATACAAAGTTTATTTTTAGTTGTTTAAATCCATCTATTTAAATGCCTGCTTGAAGTGATGGTTTCTTGGCCAGTCGTCGGTTTCATTGTTGAGCTTCATGCGTTTCTTTTTACAAACGCTGAAATAACACAGGAAGAAACAGGTACTGCTAGTTCTGCATGTGAACATAGAATACGTTTACCAATTTCGTAAGAGTAGGCTAATTGTCATATTATAAGCTAAAAACTTCGCCTGAAATTTTTTTAAGCATTAAGCATGATTTAGTTGGTTATTTTGATAATACAAGATAATGGCATCCAAACATTTCTTCGATAACAAATAAACATCAATCAACAAATCGTTTACTTGGATGCGTTGTTGATAAATATAAAACCCGTATATAGTTGAATAAAAAAATTAAAAAAATAATATATTTAGTAGAATGTTGAAACCCGTATATAATAGTTGTTAGACATAGACATACAAACACTTTAACTGTTAGAATACTACAACAATACTTAATACAGTACATCATTGCGGCTTAATTTGAATATACGAGTACAAGTAGATATGGCATAATGTTTATAGGACCATTTTTGAAGCAAACCCCTCTGACTAGCACAGATCATAGAGAAAAATGTGACAGTCTACTCTTTAATTTGCTCTAGTACTAAGCACGGGTACCTAAACTATCTGGTAGCATTTGTGACGTCTAAATTGTTTATCAATTATCAATCGTAGAGATGGACCACATATGTGCGTATTTAAACCCAAATATGAGTAAATGATAGGTGTAGAATTGAGTATGATGATCTGTATAGCTTTGTTACTGACTAAGATCTGCTGTTTCATTAGTCAGGATCATTTATTGAAAGCCCTGTGATCAGGAACTGCTGGGTCCAGTTCCGAACAATATAAAACTACTGTCTTTTTGACAAATTTAAGCATATTTTTGTGAATTTTGTTAAGTTAGGCAACAAACATATAATCCTAATGTTTATTTTAGTTTTGTAGATAAAAATGAAATACTTTTC